ATGAACTAACATAGATTTATGGATTATAAATTCTACATTTTTTTTTTGATGAATTATAAATTCTACATTTATGTAATTGAGATTTTATAAAAAAAGAGGGAGGGTGGCAGATTAAATGTGAAAGATTTGTAGTGGGGTCATCCTTCTGATAACTTCGAATAAAGATTGAAGATTTGCTGTCCCACCCTCCTCTTTTTCTAGATTCACTTGCTTGGACAGGTACCATTATTGAGTTATACTTGTGATGTCCTTTTTATAAAATATTATTCAATTTATGAAAATTGGGTTGGAAAATAAATATATGTAAACACAACTTTTTTTTTAAAACACGCTTATTTATGGAAAAAAAAGTGAATGAGTATAATAATAGGTATTATAAGACTCAATTTGACTTTTTATTTGGTCTAATTATAAGACCCAATCCATTTTCTCTCTTATATTTATGCAGTAAGATAATCCTTCTAATAATGATAGTTTAGCCAATATACTTAATTAGCAAGGATATTTTAGAAATGACAACACTTATTTATTATAAATAACCAATTAACTTACTTCCTAATCTCCTCAAATAAGTCAATTGGGTCTTATAATTAGGACCATTTGAGGAGTAATATAATAAGGCTAAGCTTTTTTTTGGTAGAGTAATAAGGCTAAGCTTTAATTAATGGGAGGAATTAAAATGAAAAATAATATTTCCTTTGGTTCTTATAATAAATACCTAATAACAATTTTACATGAAATAACAATTTAATTAGTTCAAAGGATTTATCATTAGTTAGATATATTATGTAAACAATTAATTCTTAAAATAAAATATATTATATTATGAAATATGTAGGAGGTCATTATAATAAGAAAATAGGAATGAAGGAAATACTAAAAATTTCAAATAAATTGTTAGTGGACCTTATGAATAGGAACATAATATTCCTAAAAAAATTCTTTTATAATAGTATCTAGGATTAGCCTGGTAACTAAATTTATGAATACTAACACACTAACTATCTTTTTTAAGTTTTTCTTAGCAATAAGATTGTAAGTTGATCTCTATAATAAAACATGACGGGTGTGTAAGTTCCTCTTACACAATACATGACTTTGAAGCCTTTCGTCTCAATTAGACATTGATGGAGGGTAATTTTTGAACACCTTGACTAGCACATTTTAAATCATGAGAACTATCTAGACTTATCTTCCCAATATTTCAACATGTCTGCGACACAAACCTAACCATGTGTATTTTATATGTAAATAATATTACCTTTAATCCTCAATATAAGAATTATTTAACTAATTTAAATAGATCAAAAGAATTAATTAAGGTAGTTATTTATAATAGATGTGTGTTGTCTTTCTTAAAATACCTTTGTTAATAATGTGTAATAGCTAAAACTATTATTCAATGAAACATTTAATATATGCAACTATTATAAGGACCATATTAAAAAAATAGATAAATACAAGAGACAGAGTAAATTAAGATATTACTCCTTCAGGTTCAAAATATAAGCTAAACTTTATTCATTTAGGTTTTCAAGAAACTAATTAAAATCAATTTAAAACAATAAATGTGTAAGACATATATTTGTTTTTTCCTAATATACCCTTATTAACAAAGAGAATAAGTAAAAGATGCAATAAATGAGTTAAAGAGGGAAGAGAATATATTAGGGTAAAATTGAAAAAAAAGTGAATGTTATCTTATGAAAAAAAACAACCCCTTTTAGAAAGTTTAGCTTATATTTTGAACCGAATGGAGTATAGTTATAACCAAATTAGATGTCAAATCAACTCTTATATTAAATATTAGTGATACTATTTAGAGACCGTGACTAATACCCCATGTCCCTATCAAAGACATTTCCAAGCCTTAACATTTTTATGATGTATCCATGGTAGCTTGAGATTTAACGCACCTACCAAGTACCAATAAATATTATTAAAAGAATAATATACTCATTATTTGACGAATACCAGATAAAAATATAAACTTGTGTACGAAACTTTAGGAACTTCACCTGGTTAAACTTTAGGACCAGATGGATAATTAAAATGGACTTGAGGGATGAAAAGTTTCATTACTCCAAATTTATATCAATCAAACGTGTTAGCTCATTTTACACAATAGCATAAATTAAAACTTTTTCTATATAAAATAATTTATATCAATATTCTTTTTTTCCAGACATACATATATTTTTATTAAAAACAATCATGTTCGACACACTGTCGGATATTAAATGTGAGTATTTCTTCTAGTAAGGATTTAAATATTGATCCATTACGTTATGAGGGACTAACCTCTTCTATTAGACTTGACACTCAAAATTTTATTTTATTTCTTACTACTTTTCAAAATAAAATTATAACAAACAATTAAAAAAACTTAAGCCCAACCCAAGTCTTCCAAATTGATCAGGTGGGAGGCAGCCCATATATGGCGCAGCCTAAACAGATGGAGGAGGAAAGATGTTGACATTTCTGTATTTTGACTAAAGGCCGTGACAGGGTGGAAGTCCCATCCTTCATGAATGTTTGTTTCTGATTTTTAAATTTTGCTTGTCAAACTCGTTAGTTGAGTCCAGTCAACAGCTTGCATCCAGTTTGAAATGAATAAACTATATGACAAACGTTTATTTAATTTTATATTTATAATTGATTAAATAAGTGAAAATTTCAGAAAAAATACCAAAATCTTAAATCAATGGCTTCAATTTCAATAATTCAAAATCATTTCATTGTACCAAAGCTCTTTCACTTAAGAAAGACCAGCTCAGCATGACTGGTCACTAAAAAGCCTTGACTTTGGCTAATAAAATATAATAAATAGCTAATGAAATGAAGTACGTGTTATAAAACATCTAATTGTAAAATTTGAAAATAAGTGTTGACTTTTACGAATAAAGTATAATAAATAGCAAGTGAAATAATTAATTAGCAAAGGACAACACGTTTTCAAATTTTACATTTGAATGTTTTAGGATATTCGTAATATTTCAATAATTTATTAGCCAATTTTATCTTAGAAATTTCCAGCCATGGATGTCGGAGTTCTTTTGGTGGGGTAAAATTCAGACATTGAATTATAATGGAAACAAAATTATAGGAAGTAAAATTACAATTGAATTTTAATGAAATTAAGAGACGGCAATAAAATTAAAAGGTTAATTTTTAGAATTCACTCATATTTGGGCCACACAAAAATTTATTTCATTTATTTTCTTGGCTTAAAATCTCAAAAACTTCACTTCCTTGCCTTGATTATTTTCTTTTATTGAAAACCAAAATTTGATCCAAATGCAAAATGCAGGAATTAGCAGGAAGAAGACGCAAGCAACAAATTTATGATAAATCATATCTACTTCACTTTTTATCTGTTAAAGTCTGATTAGTTGTGGCCAAAAACACAAAGCCACTTGATTAGGTGTTACTTGTTAGAGACGGAAAGGAATGTTGGTGACTCTCCCTTTTATGTATTGGGACCTTAATTACAATTCACATTGCCTTTAAAATGTGTTCATTAAGCCTCATAAAACGCGTATATCCTTAATTTACTATTTAAAATTTTACCATTAATTAATTTAATTCGAGACATATTTACATCTACCTACTACTTTTTTTATCTTAAGCAGCATATGTGCAGCATTATTTACAAGTAAGCTAATATTTATTTTGATTTGATTTTAAATGTAAAAAGTTAATACAAATATTAATTATAGACATTAATAAAGTTTTAGTAAATTTATTTTGATTTGATTTTAAATGTAAAAAGTTAATCCACTTTTTTTTTACATAATTTTAATTTTTTAATAAATTGTGGATATTAATTATAGACATCAAGAAAGTTTTCATCAATATAGTAGTTTTCAATACAAATTATCAAAAGAAATATTTTTGAAAAAATCAACACACGGTTTTTTAGTACATAGCTAACTTTAGTTATATACTGGTAACTTTTTACATATGAGATAAGAGATGCTTGTTACCCCATGCCTTGGTTGTAAGATAAGTTGTAACAGTGTATTATTAAGCGCTTGTTTCTAAAATTTTTGTACAGTAGAACATAAAAACACCCTATAGATATTAAGGGGGTATTTGGGTAGTAGGAAAAATATTTTTTAAAAACACTTTTTTGTAATTCAAGATAAACTCCTCTACATATTTATTTTATATACCGTAAAAATATTTTTAAAGCTATCGTTTTAATTCCATCCAAATATCTTCTAAATAACAAACGTTAATAAGTGAGTTTTTTAATAAATTTAATATTTTATATTCAACTAAAAAATTAAAATGGAAAAAATAATTGATATATAATCTTGTGACACAGAGATCGAAATTTGTCTGTGAGTTAGAAGGAATTAATGATAAATAGATTAAAAAAAAATTTTGGTGAAGAAGAGATAAAAATTTTGGCACATTAAATATGTAATATATAAATATTATTTTTTATGCTAAGTTAATTAATATTTAAAAACCAAATAGTTGACTAGTTTGATGTTAGAATGGAAATATACATTTTTTACCAACTACTGCATTATTGTTATGATTATAGTAGTAGCTAATAATTAAATAGCAGCTTGGTCAAAAAAATAGTAATTAAATACAAGGCGGTAATTCAGAATCAGAATCCCCCCCACTTGCCTTTTCATGCTTTGTCCATTTTTGCCAGTAAATCCCAGCGGAGGAGAAGAGGAAGAGAAGGCGAAGCAACAATCCAATCCAATCCAATAATTATCCAAAAAGCCACCCTCGTCTACGTCTTTCACATCACGGGGGAAGCTATCGATTTCAGCAGCGAAGAGTCCATATTAACACGACACAATTTCAAAGGCAAACTTCTGATTCTTTTCCCACGGTAACCCAATCGCTTCTTCGTGTCTTTTTGATTCGCTCTATCAATTCTCTTTTCCCTGGTTTTTTCCTCTTAATCATTTTGGTTTTCAATTCTCAGAATTGCTCGCGCTCTGATTTTTTCCCCCTTTCTTGGAGTTGGGAGTTGGCTCCTTGCTATTCTATCTCCGCCATATCCCTCAGTCGATCTTACTTGGCTTTTGGTATCTCAGACACTGAATGAATGGGGTACGTTTTCGATTCCAATCCTGTCTGAATAAGTCAAAATTATCTGTATTTTTGCTTTTTATTTTTATTTAAGTGTGTGCGTGAATCTATAATCCTTTTGCCTTTTCATTTTGTCATAAAATATATGAGAAGAATGCTTTTTTCCTGAATTCTATAGAAAATTGATGTTTTAGTTATGGAAAATAGACAAGCCTAACCCAATTTTGTGATTAAATTATTGGTAATCAGAGGACTTGTAGAGATAAGCATGAGCTCTCATGAGCACATTCCACTCCTTATCCTCCCAGTAGAAAATTAGTATAGAGTACACTGTCACATGCGGTTCCCGTTTCATTTACTTACAGGTGGTTTCTAAGCATAGTCCGCCTTTTGTTGATTGGTTGGTGCTAAATTCGGACTTAATCATAACTTGGTATTAATTTTATCATTGGTAAGATGGATGCGGAACAAAACTTACTCTTATTCATAAGGCATTCCAGTACTTGTGAAACTTTTGGCAGTTATAAGACTTCTGTGTCTGAATTTATGGTGGATGTTTTAGACTATCATAAAGTATATTGTGATGCATAACAGAATTTAATGCCATTGTAACAGAGCAGTGGTTGTCTTGGTTGCCATAAAAAACCAACGGTTATTAGCACAGTTGATATGCCATCGAAAGGGTTGGCAATGCAAGGTAAGGCTTTGAAGAAAGCCAGTACATCAGAGGATTTCTGGACCACAAGCACACATGACATGGACAATAGTGCTGTTCTGTCACAAGGAAGCATCTCATCAACCAGTGCGACAAACCAAGCGCTAGATCCTCATGGTGCTTCTAGCAAAATCAGTAATCCTGCTGAATTTGTAAATCACGGTATGGTTCCTTGCTTTTATTATTGTTCAGCCGGAGCTACTTTGTTAAATTGTTTTGGATACTTTAATGTTGATCTGGATTAAAGAAAATTATGACAAAAAAAAGGACAAAACTGGTATGCATGCTGTAATTATTTTCTTGGACATGAGCGGTGATAGCTAGAAGATGATAACCCTATAATTAAGTTACTGTCCCTTTTCCTTTAGTGACGCGACTGGGGGTTGCTGCTTCCATATTTGGTGTTGCTGTGGCTGGAAAATGCAATGTTGTGGCTAAAGAAAAGTTAAATTAGTGAGACGTGATGATTAAGCTAAGCTTTTGCCAGAAGTTGTACTTTTATCCTGGTGTCTTTATGCTCTCAGTGCCTGCTTTTCTTTTTGGGAAGATGGATTCTTATATGACTCATCGTTATGCTTAATTATTTTTTTGTTTTTGAACGAGCCGTCATGCTTAATTATTAAGTCCACCTCTTTTTCTAGGTCGGAATAGTACTTTTCGTGTACTTTTCTTTTTAGCCACGTATGGTTCATATTTGACCGACTAAAGTGTTGCCTCCTTTTCCCTGTTCAAATGCTTTCGGTGACTGATTCTTCTTCTGATCTAAAATTGTGTTTTTATTACTGACCAGGTTCCATGGCATCTTTAGTCAATTTGCATTTTCCCTTTAACAATCTCTATGACTTTTTATATTCCCATGTTACCTTGTATTTCATTGATTTTGGAAAATAAGGTAGCGGTGCGATGGTTGGTTATTGCTCTTGCCTGTTCTTATAAAAAAAAATATTTGGATGGGAGAAGAGAAAGCAAAACCAAAATTATTTGGTTATTTTCTTGCAGGTCATATTCTCTGGACTCGGACTCGGCAACGTTGGGTAAGAAATAATAGATCTCACAATCATAACCAAACCAAACGGCAACTGGATCCTAAATTAAGGTAAATTACCCAAGGTTTACCATAGAAAGGCCAGTCCACTTCTTTATATTTAGCACGTAGCTGACTGGTAGTTAAGTCTTGATGAGATTGTACCTTAGGAGAAAAGAGAAAGCTACTCTTGTTATTTTAAGGCTATGCTGTGGAAGTATTAGTTTGCAGCTGAATGGATCATGGCTGCTTATGTAAGGAGCATGTTTCCATAACGTAGACTTCCCAAATGGCATATTTAGATCTTTTACATTAGTATTTGCATTGCAAAAATATTACAGTGCCAAAATATTACAGTGCGGTAAATAGGCTGATGAATTTCTCTTTTGGGATCAAACTCTGTGAATTTGTTTATTGTTTCTCGTAAGCCGTATAGTCTGTACTTGGGCTAAGATTCATGTTAATGCAGTTGGAATGCAACGTATGAAAGTTTACTTGGGAGCAACAAGCCATTCTCTCAGCCAATCCCTCTTTCTGTAAGCATCTGATTCTGAACTATGAACCTGCAAATCACTCAAAAATTCGTTTTTGTTTTTGAGAGATTTCTCATTTTCATATGAACAGGAAATGGTAGATTTTCTGGTGGACGTCTGGGAACAGGATGGCCTATATGACTGAGGCATCAAAGAGTAGGGGATTGTTGTTTCCTGTTTGGTTAGAGTAGCTATAGTAAATTTCACTTTCTTGCTTCTGTAGAAAGAGAAGTTTGGGCAACCTCCACAAAATTATATTTATACCTGATTTAATTGATGACAGGAGGCAAGTTTTTCTTTCATATATTTCTTCCATTTTTCTCGAGGCTTGCCGAGTAGCTGACTAGCCGTAATCCTGCACAAAACTGAAACCATGAACAGGACAGCACTGCATTATCGTAGAAATTAATAGGAGGGAAGTTTGTCGAACTTAAAATTATCATGTTCAACTGGAAAGTATCTTATAGATCCCGTGCGCTAACATACGAACTGGTAAGAAGTGATTATATGATAATTAAGCATGCTCTGTACCACTAAATTATGCGCAATGATTTTGTTCTTTACTTGATAAAGATGATCATATCAAGTATATAAAGGTCGGGTGTGACTTTAGACTTCACCCAAATTAATTAAGGAAGCGACATGGGGATCAAAGATTTGGTCACAAGGGCAAATTTGTGAAATAATTATTTTTAGATCGCAAGTAAAAACCATAATCCTTCCGTCCTGGTATTTCAATAATTAAGGTCTCCGATTATTATTAATACTCCTCCGGTCCTTAATAATTTGATTAGATTAAAGAAGTAGAAAGTTATTTAATTATAAGAAATGTGACATGTTTTTCTTAAAATAATAATCATCTTTTTAACCTCATTTTCTTCTTCTCCTGATAGTTGAAGGAGTACCATAGGGTTTTAAAGAAAATTGATAATATGAAAATGGTCTTATTTAGGACTAAAATCAACTCACTATGGGTCCTATATTAAGGACCGGGGAATACATTCCCAAGGTCTGCAATTCTCGTTTCCTTCTTATCTTGTAGCGGGCATGGCCACCGAAAACAGCTCGGGCCCCTCAGGGCCCCATGGGGTTCCATATTTGACCGCAGCCTTTGAACTTAAAAGTCCCAGATATGTCGGCCAACAGTAGTCCCACTTTTTTCCTCCAGGCAATTTAAATTTGAGAAGATTCATTTAGTTCTCGGATTATGAAAACTGAGGAACATAAAGTAGCTGAATTTAGAGGTGGTATGAAGAAAAGAATGGATTCACAGTGAAACTGTGATACATATAAAGCAGGATTTACTCAGAAATAGTGAGCCCGAACTGAATCTGATAATTTAGCATTAAATGACAAGAAAAGAACAGAGGAGTGAGCAGAAGAAGCAGCACTAATGACGCAAACAAAATGATCCCAACAGTATAGGGCGTGGATGGAGGAGGAAGACGTGGAAGAGAAGATAAAGTGTCATTTCATTATCACTATTGCGATCCCATCATCTTCTTCGTCCGTACACAACCTCCCTGGCTTTTGATCATACTAGTACCCCCTCCACCGTCCGATCTCATCAATCCCCTGCTTCTGTGTTCCCCGCTTCCGGAGCTTCCTTTTGTCCTCACATGCTTCCCTATATCCTCAAGCTCATACTTTACTCAAACATGCATACAAAAATTCTATACAAATTCAAAATTCTTTCCCTATGTACGTATACGCAATCACGCACGTCGTGTTATTATATACCAAAAGAGTAGGTTAATTTAATACAACACACACACACACACACACATAATATTCACAGAGAGAGAGAGAGTGAGAGTACACTCAATAGTTTGGGAACTCTTGGGAGATGATCAATGCAACTGTTTATATAGACTATAGAGTTCGGTGGCAGAAGAAGGTCCAAAATTTGCAGAAGAATCAGGGACCAGTACTTGATTAATGTATGTACAAAGTGGTTGTTACATTGTCTAATTGCTATCTAATTCTTGAAATTAGCAAAGAATCAGTTTTATGTACTTGGTTTAAATACTAAGGTTTCGCTAATGAAAGTGCTGGAAAAGTGCTTCTAGCTGGTTTTATATATCTATGTGATGCTGTGAGGAGAGAGAGCAGAGAGGCAGAGAGAGAGAGAGAGAGGCATCTTTTAAGTAAGAGGGCTGCAATGAAAACTTACCTTATAAAGAGTGTGCAAAGTAACATTGGTATTTATTTGGCTATATGGTAATAAAAGTTGACATAGATATATGTTTTTTAACAGTCACATGAGATACAGTAAAGAGCCTGACTTGTAAAAAGCTTCAAGTAAATAAAGCAAGTTCACTGAGATTCCGCCAATAATAGTGGAAAAAAACTACTATTTACCATTTGTCCTTCATGCCCCCCCGCCCCCCAAAAAAGAGAGTCTTTCAAGCCACACTGACTGCAATAAATTAATCGCTATATCTTTCTCACACAGCAAATATAATTCATTTGATTTGATAAAATATTTCAGGAAAAAATTCTGATTCTATTATTTTCTGAGATTTTTCAGTCATAATATATATGGTGAAGAATCCTAGATATTTTGATGGCAATTTCTGATATTTCTTTTGTTCAAGCAACATGATTTGATGGGAAAGGTAGAGGGAAAAGACAAAAGGGCACTTGATCAAAGCCAAGGGATCACACAAACACACACACATATTAATAGTGTGCTGAGCCAATTACTATTGAGCAACAATCCAAAGTCAGATATCACCGTTTTCCCAAAAGAAGACTTATAAAGCTTTGCCCATTTTCACTGTTGTATGAATGCAGATTTCATTGGTGAAGCAGCCATGGAATCAGAGCAGTGTCTCTCCCTCAGGAAACATAACCCTCCACTCACTTTCTCTAACACATTTAATACATTCACTCCCTTCTCTTCTTCTTCTTCACCACCCGCTCCGTCAATCACATTTCAAAACACACTTCACTCCCTTTCACTGCTACACAACAATACTTGTTCTCCCTCAACACACCACCACCCCCATATCAGCTTTAATTCTTCACAGTAACTTGCACTGATGGCTCTATCTCGCCCACATCCACCAGCATTATCCACAGTTGCAATAACATCACTGTGGCTTCATCTGTTCCTCACAGTTCTACATCATCACAGTTCAGGTAAATTAAAAAGGCCACCCGAATACTGTTTACTGGTTTAAATATATGGCTCAGTAATGTGCTTAGTACTGTTTCTGGGTTTTGATGATGATGATGATGATGATGATGATGATGAGCAGTGATGGGTTTGGAGGAAAGCAAGAAGGTGATAGGGTCGAGGCCTCCGGCTTGTGTGAACAAGTGCAACAAGTGTAGGCCTTGCATGGCGACTCTGGTGGTTCCTCGTCATCAAAGAACTAAAAAGAAGGGTTTCAGTCTGCAAGTGGTGCCTCCTGGGGACGATGACCCTTATTACCTCCTCTCTTGGAAATGCACATGCGGCCATAAGCTCTTTCAGCCATGAGCACTACACGTTCATGGAACTTCTCTCTCTTGGATATGTTTCTCTCTTACTTCTGAGTTGCTTTGGTACGGCTAAAGATGTTTAAAACTAGCTAGCTAGAATATCTATTACAGATATTCGCCATAAACATTTTGATTTATAGTTTTTCCATTGCAGTGATATATATCTATCTATAGATATACATATTATATATTCTGTTGTAAGGACTCTAAATATTATCTGCTGCTTAATTCAGTCCTCCTCCTCCTCTTACTACGTTTATCACACACTTTACAAATAACCAAGAACACTCTTTTGGATATGCCATCTTGGTCGTTGGATTATATATGCTTGTGGGTGACTGTGAACAACCAAGTTACATAAAAAGACAGAGCTTTACATGACATCCAATATCATATTCCCCACGTGGAAGTGAATCGGGTAGGGACATATGAATCATTGTGTCTTTAGTTGAAGGTAACAGAGATTATATACAGGTAACAATAAAACATCATCACTTTTGACGTATGTCTCACAACAATTGGAATCTCACGGTGTTCATGTTCAGGTTGAAGTTATAGTACGGTGGTTATAATTGGTTGCAATCATTCCAGGTGGCTGGGTTCGACCACGTTGGCTTCTCTCTCTCTGTTTTTTTTTTTTTTGGCCCTCTCTTCACAGATGCTGCAAGAAGTAAATCTTTTATTTGCGTATAAAATAATGCGGCCTTTTCTTTCACTTGGATACTAATCGAGGGTGATCTTATTATCCCTGAATGATTTAAAATTAAAAAGAAAAATTGGAGTTTTGAGTTTTAAGCTTGGATAAGACAGAGGTGGTTTAAAAGGGGAAGAAATGAACTAACGAAGACAGACAAATTGAGAAGCATACACATCCTGTTGATCATTTTCCTTCTACTTCCAAAATACTTTTTCCCTTCTTAATACAACTAAATAACTAATTTACACATACTAAAAAAAATTTAATTTAGTTATTTCTAATAGATGTGGGTTGGATTTCCTAAAATAATATATTTACTCATTTTCATTGTTAGAACTATGCATTGATGAATACCTCCTTAATATATGTAATTAATAGAGATAATTTGAAAAAAATTATAAATTTGGAAAATAAAGTGAATTGAGGTATTATTAGACTTATATTATGGATCAAAATCAAACTTTCTAACTAGCCCTCTGGTCAAAAAAAAAAAAAAAACTTTCTAACTAGCCCTTCTATCTTGATAGAAAGAAATTTCTTTGGTAACATCTTGATAGAAAGAAATAATTCGCAGGCCTTGACAAAAAAAAAGAAAAAATGAACAAAAGTTTCCCTTACAGAATGCTGTGGATAGGATTGTTTTTAGATGGGATGATCCAACTTTGCAGTGTTGTAGTCCAAATCCAATTGTGAAATAAAACCCATTCTCCAAAGTTAGCCCATCATCATGAAACACCATACATTAAGATTCCCTATTCATCCATTCGATGATTGCCGACGTATGTGGGCACGTTGCATATATTCGTGTGCGCGTGTCACCAACAGAATCAAGAATCGTTTTTTTTTTCCCCAGGTTTTTAATTTGTGCTGCAAATGCCTCTCAATGGTTCCTCTCTCTTCCACGAAGCCAGCCAACCTGGCTCCATTCTTCCCCTCCCGCTCTCCAGTTTCCTGCACTCGTTTCTGCAATTCCTCTCTTTCAACTGTTCCTTCCTTCTCCTCCTTCTCAATCCGCTCTCATCTTCCACTTCGCTCCCTATCTTTTTCTCATTCCGCCGGAGTTAGTTACGCCCTTTGCCGCTCCTCCCGTCCTGGCCGTCCACCGCCCCACCGGATCGATCCTCCTCCCGGAGATGATTCCGGAAGCCTTAAAGGTTTGTACTTTGACTTTTTTTTTTTTGGGATTTCATGCTAGTTTAGGATTTTATTTGCAGAGAACTACATAATCTGATATTTGAATTTGAGCATGGATTGTATTCTGATGAATATGGAGGGACCTTGGGTTTTTCTCGGTATTGGAATATTTTGTAGCTAATGTACTGGACTACTGGGTGAAGTTGCTTTCGGCTACAATTGAATGGAATGAAATGTAGTTAGGGGGAGCCG